TAATGGCTTATCTGAAATGGCTTCTCAACTTTTTTAAATGATAAGTTTGCGGGAGAATCGCTCACATTTTCAACGTTTAGTTCTTTATTTGAAACGTAGATTAGATACAGCTAATATATATAGATGAGAGATGAGAGATTTTTATGTGAAAAATTTGAAAGGGAAAAACTCACGTGGTCTAGTGCTGTTGAAATGGTACAACGGTTCAAATATATGTTATAAGACTTTATATGCTCTTGAACAGTATGAAATAATATTACAATAATTGGAGAAAATGTTAGAGAAGTGATAGCGACTCGATTGCAAAAATGGAAAATTGGTAAAGTTGTCGTTGATGGTGAGGGTCGCTAGGCATCAGTGATCCAATAATAATAGTAGTTAATCGACAATGATCTGACAATGGCGACCTACAACGGAGGCCTCACTATGGAAATGACGTTATTGTGGCAGCTACAGTGATCGTGGCAGTGGCATCTATGTCAGTTGTGTGGCTGTGGTCCCTTGATTGATAGATGATAGTGTTCTGATAATAGTGGGAGTCAGGAGATAGTGAGTTAGCGAAAGTGGTAATGATTTGGCTACGACAGCAATAGCTAAGGCATCGATGGAGCAATAGTGGTTCCGCGACAGCTATGGCCTAGCGGCATCAATCGAGAGATCGCGGTCTGGCGACAACAGCTGCAGGGAGGTAGTGATCCAATAATGACGATATTGTTAGTGGTCAATCGTTCCTTTTGGTATACGACATCAATCTGATGATTGTCGTGGAGGCCTAATGTCGTTGGTTGGGCAATGCTAGTTTGACAGTGGTGGTGGTCGGGTAATGGTTATCTAATGATTATGGTGGTGTCAGTCAGGCGGTGGTGGTTTGGCAATGACGACACCTTACGAAGGTGATCCATCATGGTGACCACTGGAAGATGATGACTCGCTATAATTGATGATGTGTCACAACAACGGTGGTGACACCAAGGTGATAATGTTCCCGCATAGCAACTACTAGGAGAGGATAATCCAACGATATCGATGGTATGCCATAACATTGACAATTGTCAGACTTTGATAAGATAGCAAAGTGGCGGCTAAGAGATGGTCGCCTGAAAAATAATTGTAGTGTTCCAGTGATGGTTGCATGGTGGTGGAGGTGGTAGCCTAACGATTGTGATCCAACATGACTGTTGTGGCCCGATGATGGCAACGGTAACTCGACATTGATCAGATGTTGATGATCTGGTGGTGGTTGTAGCTCAACGATGGTGGTGCAACACAGCAGTGGTGGCCTAAAGTCGGTGCTCCGGCTATATCAGACTAATGGCAATGTTGGTAGCTCAATGTCGACCTGATATGACAGTCAGACAATGGTGGTCTAGTAGTGGCATTGGTGAACCATTAATTGTAGTTGTGGCTGGGCAACAATGGTAAGGTTCTAATGACGATAGTGACAACGGTCGAGCATGTGTGGTGCAACAATGATGATGACGATGGGTAAAAATATTCTAGTGGCGGCAGCCAGACGACATTGGCATGACTATGGTGGAGCTTGAGAATCCTCAAGGACTTGGAGCTTCATTCAGCCTTCTCATTCAGGTCCCCCCTAGTGCGGCTATTTTTATAGATTTTGGGAGTGACATTCACCGTAAATACTGCTACCGTTGATTAAATGCCTACACGAGGATAAGTAAGAGCGTTGCTTATGATTAGCACCCATCCTTTGAATATCTTAGTAGAACTTGGATTCATGCAAAACCAATTAAATGGAATATTTTTCAAGTTTCAGAAAACCTCACTGTATTTTCACCTCATTAAATTAGGTTTCACTTTGCTAAAATTAGAATTAGTAACTTTTAAAAATAACAAAACTTTGAATCTTCGTGCTAGATTCAAAATTAATAAGATAGAACTTTTTCAAAATTTGGGAGTTCGCTCATTCCTCGTGGAATCAGCACACAAACTCTGCTTCGTGTGTTACTTCAATGACACGTATACTTGCATATATTGTTGGTGTTTTGTAGCATTTGGTGCGTATTACATTATTTTGAATTATTGCTCATAAACATTTGAGCAGTTTTTCTATCCTCATTAGCAACAACTCCAAATAGGTAAACCTTAAATACAGGGAATGAACCATAGCACTTGAATTTTAGCCTTCTCGAAAATAATTTTAATTTTGAATTATACAATAAAATCTCATGTCTATGCTTGAATTTTCTTACAAGCTTCTGATTATGTCATTTCTTCATTTGTTCTTTATAGATCTCGATATCCTCATAAGCTTCCAATTTGATCTCTTCTAATCCATTCAAATATAATAACATTATCTCTATTGACTCCTTAGATTATAGTTAAATTTTTAATAGCTTTGTATGCCCTATGTTCTAACTCCACTACAAAATGGCCGACAATTCCTAAAATCGGCCTACTTGGGGATATTCGTAAGGGTGTCGTATAAACTATTTTATAGGCCCACAAAGCATCGTCTAGCCTGAAAAACCAATCATTCTTACTCAGATTTATAAATTTCTTTGTTCTTTTGATCTTCTTATTTGATATCTTTGTTAATCCACTAGTTTGAAGATAGTAAGCGATATAAATCTTACATTTAATTCTAAATTTAGTCACTAGTGCATCTATTCTTTTATTGTAAAAATGGCTTCCCCTATCACTGATTATAACCCTGGGTGTTGCAAATCTACTTACAATGATTCTTATTCAAAAAACTCATAACATATTTTGAATCACATTTAGTTAAAGTCACTGCTTCAATCCATTTTGACATATATTCTACTGCTGTCATGATGTATATATTTGAATAAAAGAATAGATACATCATGAGTAAGAATGATTGATGTATCTATTCTTGAGCATATAATGATTGTTAATATGCTCAAGTTGCTTATGAAATCTATTTCTCGAACACCAAAAATCTCAACCTCCAACACATAAGTTAAGGGCATCTCATTTCTTTTCGAAATATTGTCTCCCCTCTGACATCGATTACTTATCTTAATATAAACAATCACATAAATATGGTAAACTAAAATTTTAATTGTAAAATCTTAGCGGCTATTCTAAATCCTCTGAAATACCCTACAAATTTGACAGTCTCTAATAATCTCATGGTGCTTCTTCTAGTAGGACACGCCAAAAAATTTGATTCTTACAAGTCTAAACAAATATAGCTCATCCCAAAAGTAAAATCTGACATCAGAAAAAACCTCTTTCTTTAGTTATACGACATATCAAAAGTTATGATATCATTAATAATATAGTTCACCATGTCAACATGCTAAAGAATATTTTGTTTAGTAATTGTAAGCAATTGTTCATCAGGAATATTCTCATTATCTTCAAAAAGTTCAGAAGAATTTTCCTATTCAAAAGGAGAAGTGGTCTGATATCTAGTTTTCAGTGTCTTTCATATAAACTATCTCTCTATCAAATTATTATAACAAAAGTATCCAATAAATCAATCGAGGTTTAGCACCATTCTTAGACACAAAGTATTTAATTATAGACTGATTGATATAGACTTTAACTTATTGTTTATCAAGTATAACCTAAGCTTGTCAAATTTGAATGCTATAACAAGTAATTCCTTCTCTATGGCGTTACAATACACTTGTGCTTCATTTAGAGTCATACCCACATATCACACGAAAAATTTTATCTCTTTCTTGTCCCAGCATAACCCCTACAGCATAGTCACTAGCATCATACATAAGCTCAAATAGAACCTCCCAGGTTCGTTCCAAAATATATATATTGAATCAAACCAACATTAAGCTAGAGAAGCTTCCAAAAGGAGATTATAATGCAATGGTCAATTATTCATCGTCGGCAGATATTTCTACTTCTCTTTTCTCCGAATTTAAAAAAAAAAAGAAATTTCATAACCCCTCCCCACGATCTTTGCAATCTTCTCCCTCTGCAATAATTTAATATTACAACAAAGACCAGTTTGGTTTTATATCGAAAATAAAAAATAAACTCAGATTTTTTTGCCTAACGCACATTCAATGTATGAAGACGAATATTAAAGTACAAAAGAGGATACGGCATAGATATAAGCAAAGAAAATTTATATTTTAAAAATTATTTTTCGATATTAACTAGTACAAGTTGAATTCATTATTTAATTACATACCACTCAGTTCTTATGTATTTACATAATTAAGGACTAAACTTCTCTTTTTACATATAAGTCGCCTTTCATAGAAAAAACATTATATCAGGACTCCAATGACATTGCGCCACGTCTCACGATCGACTCACTAAAAAAATAATTTATGCCTTAATGTATGGTTTGTCTTCTCCAGACACGTGACGCAATTCATTGGAGTCCTGATGCATTTCTGCAGGAGAAAAGTGGGTTTCACTTTAAAGTATTAAAATAGTGATATTTTCGAAAGATTTGAATGTAAAAAAAATGAACTTTAGTTGTTCGTAGATATGTAAATGCATAAGAATTATGAGGTATATATGTATGGAGAATTAGAAAGTCAATTGCATCAAAATAAATAAGATAAAATCCAAATATTTAGCATTTCTGACATACCATGTAACCGAGTGGCTACATAAAATTATTTTTTTTTCATATTTAAACCATATTTTTTAGAAAATCTCAGCCGTGCAATTCACTTTGAGCGGCTATGATTTATGAGAATTGCACAACCTGAATTGAATCAATTCATATATATATCCAATTAATTACAATAGTAATTAATTAGTGATGATTCGAACAATTATACTCCATAACTTAATCATTAGCTTCTCAAATCCAAATCAATATTTAAGTAAACTCTTTAACCCTAATCAATTCCATCACTAATAAAATGTATCCAGTCATGTCACATATTCAAACCAGCTGCCTAATCTCTGTAGACTTTCATTAATTATAAATACATAATTATTTAATTAATCACTCAACAAAACATTCTTCCTATATATATGTAGTCATCAGCCCTGCACTCCGTAAAGAGCATTTTGGTCATTTATAATAAATGGAAGAATTTGGAGTGTATCCAGAGATATTCTTCAACTCATGCAAAGAACAGATGCAGATTGAAGAAGCAGAAGCCATGGCTGAACTATTGGAAGCTCAGTTCTTGGATTTTAAACAGTTCCAAGATCTGCAGTACTCCTTCATCAGTCCTTATGATCAATCTGCTGTAAACTGCAGCAGTAATTTCAGTGGTCCAAAAATAAGTTATGAGCCCATGGATTATGTTATGAGAGAAGAGATTTTAGCAGATTCATTCTTTCAGTTTGATTCCAGTGATCAATTTGAAAGCTTAATCTTCACAGAATGTGATTCTGTTATTGATTGGCCATTACAGAGGAAGAGAAAGCTTGAGTCTGAGCATGAACAAGATGAGAGTTTTAAGGGAAAGGTTCGAAAAACTTGTTTTTTGAATCGTATCAACTGGTTAAATTTTGTTCATGGAGTCAGATGTATTGGTTTGTAATGATTTCAGGTTCAGAAGAGAGTGAGGAATTCGCGGCGGCAGAGCAAGGGTAAGGGTGGCGCTGCCGGAGTCGGGGAAGAGAAGAATGTCAGGTTGAGCATGACCAGCTCCGGGTCGGAGAACGATGACTCGAATGATTCACAAATGTATGCTGTTGATGAACTGAATGTGAAGGCAAGAAATGGAAGAGTAGCAGCAGCAACTGACTCACAGAGTCTTTATGCAAAGGTTAGCAATATCAAATTTCATATTTACATACATACCAGACTAGTTGCGATACCACATCAAAAATACCAATGTTTTAACTTCTAAAAAGTGAAATACGCCTTTTTTAGGTGTAAAAATAGAAGAAGTTCAGGGTTTAGATGTGTGAAAACACAAAAGAATTTAGTGGAATGCATGCAAAATTTTATAGAAAATATTAGCTAAAATAGCCATTTTCATTACAGAGAAGAAGAGAAAGGATCAATGAAAGGCTCAAAATATTGCAGAATTTGGTGCCCAATGGAACCAAAGTAAGCTATTTTCTGCTACATTTCTATGTAATTTCTAATTTTTTCATTAAAATGAAGGTTTTTATTGAAAAACTCCGGCAGGTTGACATCAGCACAATGCTTGAAGAAGCAGTGCAGTATGTGAAATTCTTGCAGCTTCAAATTAAGGTTAGTAAGAAAAAATAGAAATTTGAAATAATATTAATATTTATTGATCAAATAGTTATGAAATTGAAATTTGATTTTTTGGTGCAGCTGCTGAGCTCTGATGAGCTGTGGATGTACGCTCCACTTGCTTATAATGGGATGAACATTGGGCTTGATTTAATGAGAATTCCATGAAGAGGAATAGGATTAATTAATCGGTCCCCTTCAATTCTTTTATTTTGGAAAATGTCATTATTGATTAATTCGTCTATGTTAAATATGGATGAATATCTAATTTCATAAGGTCTAATGGTTTATTTAGCAAATTTATTAGTTTATAGAAGATATGTATTAGATGTGCTCATTGTATTAATAATTAAGTTAAAAAGTATATTTTTTTCCAAAAAAAAAAAAGTTTCTTTAGTGGAGGGGGGCAGGAAGATTTACATAAATACCGCTCAACTCTCATGTATTTACATATCTAACTTGTAAATTTCAAATTTTTTTGCACAAACCACTCAGCTATATATGAAAAAATGGGGTTCTTTTTTATTACGTTAAAATGGTGGCATTTTGATGTGATATGAAAGACTTGGGTGATATAAATAAGAAAATCCGAGTCTAGGTTTTAGATATTTAGAAATGAAAAAATATGGGAATTGGGCGGTATATATGTAAATGCCCCTATGTTGTTTTAGTGTTAAGATTGAACAATATAGAAACTCTTCGAGTGGATTTTGGTCGATCAAAAAAGCATTGGACAACATCACCTTCAACCAAACCAATTAAAAGAAACGGAGAGAAGAATATTTATAGAGAGAGAGAGAGAGAGAGAGAGAGGAATGGCTCAAGGCAATTAAAAGTCCTGATCATCCCTAGGTGTGCTAAATATTCGACTACCACACCCTACACAAGAGTGATTCGAACCTGTGACCTAAGAGGACTTACGACATTCATAAAAGCTGCTCTACTAACAGACCACGGTACACGCACAAAAGGATATATATATATATATATATATATATATATATATATATATATATCGGGAGAAGCTTGAGAATATGTCTAATTAAAAATTAGCTTCACTTGAATCAACTTAAGGAAAAAGACTTGAACACGTTTTCTAAACCTTTTATTTGAATGTTAACTTAAGTATTAATAAAGTTTTGTGAAGTTCTTTTTCATATGAATTTGCTAAGTGACTTTAATATTACAAATTGTAATTTTTCTTGAAAGAAATAGAGGATCAGAAACCTTAGACTTAATTATTGAATATCTTTACACCTTTAGTATTAATTGAAGTTGTTTTGAATTTTTCTTAAGTTATACTATTATATTTGGAAAACTAAAATATGGAAGTCTAAAAGTTAATGTCTTTATCATAAGTCATATTTTTTATATAGTAAACGAGTTACTTAAGGACAAGTAACATGTAAGTTTGGGGGATTTTGATACACCAAAAATGTATGCATTTTTAGACACGTATTTTATACCTATTTATATATATAAACAAAAAAAAAAAAGTTCGGGCATAATAAATGAAAATACAACAGAATTTTATGATATGTATGTAAATCTCCCTTAAATTTAACACATGGTACATAGGGAGATATGGCTTCATAGCATAGCTCAAATCAGCCAGCACTAACAACCAGATTTTTACAAGCATGTGCAATACATATTACAGAAGAAACTTATTTCTGAAAAATTATAACTAAATGCAAAGAAAAAAATATAAATGTTTAACTAAACTTCTTATAACAAATACTTAAATTTAGCCTAAAAAACATCAACAAAACCAAACATGCAAAAAAAAAAAATATTTCAGAAAGAAGTGTAATGAACCCTCTTCTGTTGTTGCTTGCGACGATAACAAATATTTCAGTATTTATCGATATAGCAAATACTAACCAAACATGCAAAAAAAAAAAATATTTAAGAAAGAAGTGTAATGAACCCTCTTCTGTTGCTTGCGACAACAAATATTTCAGTATTTATCGATATAGCAAATACAGATATACAGATTCTAAAATATTACAGCAGCAAAAAACATCCACAGATAATGAACTCAAAATAGCTCTCCCTCATTCTCTCTCTCTCTCAACTTATGCTAGCAGGTAAATATTAGGGAAAATATTACATGAATTCTATACAAAGCAGGCCAAAAAATCAGCACGTCTTGTGTTTTCTCTCACTGTCACTGATAAAACTTTTCTCATGTTTATTTGTTAAGAATTCCCAATCTGCTGTTCTATGAGCTCACCAGTTTTGTTAGGAAATTGGTCTCTTAAGATGAACAAGATGAGGATCAAGATATGCGAAGTATTAATCTTACCAGTTTTCAGATGTGATTTTCTTCATGAGAATGGCTCGGCACCTCATTTTGGCTGTCGAGGGGCATGTACTGCGCCATAATAGCTCTGATTTCTGAATCCATGTAGGACTGCATTTGCATGGAGGAGGATATTGAGTGTAACAGAAAAGAATTAAGTGGATGGAAATGTAAAAAATGATTTCATTAAGAGAATATCAATTAAAAATAGATGTATAAAATGAGTAATGTGGCAAAAGTCCCAAATTGATGTATGAAATGAGTAAAGTGTCAAAATAGTCCCTAACTATGTACATGGAGCCGTTTTATTCTTAGAGTTTATATAATTGTCAAAATAGTCCTCAGACTCTTTAAAATGGGGTTGAAATAGTATATTTGAAGGACTATTAGTACTTAATTTTAAAATAATCATGGATTATTTTGGTGGCCTTATGTAAATAGTCGGCGACTATTTTAACGCTTTTACCAAGTATGCATTCAAGGAAGAGATGGGATTTTTGTTGTGTTATTGCACAATGGAGGACTTGTATCTCAGCTAAAAGTGGAAAATAAAACATGGACTTATACATGCCTTTTTCACATATAAAGCTGGGGGCGCAGGGGGAATAATAATGGTATAAACTTTGTATTAGGTTTGCCATAAAGACTAAGAAAACATGATTCTATATTTATAGTGGTAAATTCTTTTTTTCAAAAATGATAGTTAAATCTATGAATTATTATCTAAGAGAAAATCAGCTAATTATCATCCACAAATGGAGGTATATCTTATGTAGCTAATCAAATTTTAAGAGAAGAGCTGTCTAACAGAAAACCATGCATATGAAAGGGAATTCATACTGCCTTTGGCTGAATTCATGTTATTTCATAATTAAATCTATGGGCACTAATCCATTTGATATTATCATAGGATATTAACCTAGAAAGTCTATAAATCTAATTGACTAATCAAAAAAATCTAAACCTAGCTTATTCTTGTAATTATTTGCATAACATATGCAAGATCGTAAGGATATTTGTATAAAATTGGATAATAATGCAAAAATTACAAGCATTTCTTAATGAGAATAGAAGGTATGTGGAATTGAAGCCTGGATATAAAGCAATGGGTCTCGTTTAAATGCAAAAAAGGCTTCCATCTAGAATTTGTTCAATGCAAGGAAGGCAGGATCAATAAACCAACTAAAATTGCACAACACATTGAAAATAATACCTACAACAAAAAATTTCAAAATAAATTGGAATAAATGTAATTTTTATTGAGTTTAAATTAAGCTTGTATAATGAGCCTATCAACGATTCGTTGGATTCTTCCACTCTTGTTCTGCCTATTCCTTACAAGTCTACATCAATTCCTCGATTGGGTACTTCTAAGTAAATTATTTTTTTGACTATTTTAAACCATAAAATTATGTCCAAAACTGATGTTAGATTTTAGAGACAAGTTATTCTTATAGAGAGAAACCTAACTATTATGATTCAAGCATTACTCTACAAGAAGCTGAAATTTTGAGTTCAAATTTGCTCAATGAATGTGAAATGCAACAAAATTTGTCTTAGTTGAAAGAATTTAATGAAAATAACCATGTTTATTCCTATAAGAAGTAATGCAACAAGTACTCAATTAGGTGCAATTTATTATTTGCTTTTCCTTAGATGGTTTCTTTCATTAGTTGGATTATTTTATTTGTTTTTCAAGTTTGAAGGCAAACTTGTGATGATGGCCAAGGAGGATTGTAATGACCAAGAAGCCATTTCCTAACTTTGGATTAATTTATTTAGATGGCATAATTTCAATCTTGATTTAATTTAATATAGTTTTCGCAAAAATTATTTTGGATCAGTCATCAGGTGTCAAATTTCTTTAGACTAGACAAGTTTACGTGGTGGGGCGAGGTCATGTATTTCGGCATTATTCATTAAACTTTAAGAAAAAAAACGGTTGAACATGCACATATTGTTTAAGCTGAGGCAGAATTTGTGGCTTTTTCGTGCTTTAAGGCTTATTTTTTATATAATATTATTGTTGTTTTTGTTGTTGCTGCTACTACGGGCTTGGAGTTCAGTAACCATGCATTTTTCAATACGACATTAATGGGTAAACATGGTTGCAGCTCAATCGAGTTGAAGATTTCAAATAAAATTGAACTGTTGATTGATTTTTTTCAAAAAACATGAAAAGTTGGGACCAATTTAAATTAAAACTAAGAATAACCATGATATAACCTTTATCCCCTAACGAAAGCTATAAGTTGATATACTGGTTTAAGAGCCCGATTGGGGTAGCTTATAAGTGTGGGCGGCGTTTTAAAACGCCGTCGTACCGTTTGGTTCGCGCGTTTCGCCAGCTTATCAGAAACCGCGTTTGAGTTTTTCCACTAAACGCATGACGCGGGCCGCGTTTCAGGACAAGTAGCTCATCCTGAAACGCACAAGCTAACCCAAACGGACCCTAAGGCATGAAATTTATAATTTTTCACTCAATAAAATTTCTCCTTCAACTCTCTATCTTGTCATATGATTTTTTTTTTTTAGAGTGCAGTACGAGATCATATTTTTCTTCAATAATTTTCAACATTATCAAGTAAATTATTTCCTTTTCAATGAGCAACAATAATGAATAGAGTAGTCATGAAGGAAATTTAAATTAAACAAATAACTATCTTTTTTTATTTATCTTGTACTCAAGTTTTTGTAAGATTTGACTTTCATATATATTTTGTAATGAGATTACATGCCTAAATAATTAGTATCTCATATATATACTTGTTTAGGCACAATTAAAACATGATTGCATCTTAAGCTCAATAAAAATGAAAGAACGTGCTTCAACATCATCATCAACATTAGACTTATTCCAACTATTTGAAGTCAGCACAAATAAGCAATTTAGATTAGTGCAGTGCTTCGCTTGGTATGTCATGATGCTTTTTAAAGAGAGAAAAATAAGCATCAAAGTAAGCTAATGATAGAAGAAAATAACTTGAAAAGTTTTACCACACTTCAAGTTCTACAATTTTAGTAACTCAAAATTCACAAATAAAATGTAAAACATATTAAAATATAAACTACTTAAAATCGTGCATGGATTATGCATTATTAATTCTTCTTCTTCTTCATTCATTATCACTTTTCTATCACTAGATTCCAAAAACTCTTCCAATGCATCCTTAAACTCATCCTCCTCACTCCCAAAATTTATTTTCTAGAACTTGGAACTCCAGCACTTATATTTAATTCAACTTTTTTAACTCCTGCATGCTATTTTCACATCTCCCCAAACCAAAATATCATTATCATAAATAAATTCATATTCAGCCAAATCACTGATGAAACTATTTGTGGAATGGATATGATGATTTTTGCTATGAAGATCATAAAAAAAGCCCGTAAGAAAATAAAAATTAAAAAAACAACAAGGTCATCTCCTCACAACTTGAGGAGCATCCTAAATTTTCACATCTAATGAAGCCAATTTTTTTCTCTAGTAAAATTAACACGGTTCACAAACATAAAATTACCACACGCTAGTGAAAACAAAGCTACAAATACTTGTAATTTCAGAAGGTTTTGGCCCAACATCTATTTGAATAAACTATGAAGCACAAGCACAACTAATTGGGAGAACTGTCTAGTTCCATGCCTCATCAATGGCCTAAGAATCTAAGAGCAATTCCAAGCCTCGGCACCATTATCGAGGTACACTTGTGCCATGTTACTAATATAATTTGGGCCATTAACATATATACCAGCCAATTCCTCTGTGTTTACATATCTAACATCTAAATTTTGCATTTTATATGTATACCACCAAAATCTATCATATCACAAAAAACAACACCATTTTCATTTTTTAAAAGTTAAATACACCTTTTCAAGCATAGGTAAGATGGTATGTATGTAAAAATTGAAGTTTAGGTGTAGGACTGTAATCGAGTCGAGTCGAGCAAAGTATATAATAGATTGGACTCAGCATGGAAGTATTATAAATTGTTCATGTTCAGCTTGAGCTTGTGTTGAACATTCACATCTATGTTCAACACTAGCATGTTTAAATTTTTCAATGCTTGAACTTGTTTTGTAATTGATTTGTTTATGTCAAGTGGACCAATATTTAAATGAGTTAATAAACAAGCTAAAATTTTGAAACGAGCACATGATTTTTTATATAAATTTTTTAACAATTTTTTTTTATAAAGCCAAATAAATATGCAATTAAATAAATTTTAAATTAGTATCTACTTGTTTTATACAAATTAAATAAGAAAATATATATGTTGCGAGTAATTTTTTTCAATCAAATAACATAAATAAGTGTTAATAAATTAATTCATTAAAATTAAAAAAATAAGAATTAATTGCATTAAATTAATTTGCATTTTCTCCAATTACAATTTAAATAATTTGAAAAGTAAATGAATTCTAGTTGATCAAATTATATTTAAATAATATATCATACATGACTATATGACTTGAATTATCATCAAGCTTAATATCAAATATTTAACACGTTATTTGTTGAACAGCAAACTAGCTTCTTCGTGAATATAAATAAACAAGTATATTATGTTAATGTTTAGTTCATTTATGCTTCGAGCTTTTAAAAATCGTTCAAGCTTGTTTATTTACTAACTTAAACAAACGTGATAGTGTTTTGGTCAAGTCGATTTTGAGTTGTTCTTTGAGTGCAATGGTTCCTTTATAGCCCTATTTAGGTGTTGAACATGTAAATGAATAGGAATTGAGTGGTATTTATGTAAATCTTCCATATAATTTTGTACTCTAGCCATACCTTAGCATGATTTTATGATCATGCTTGGATATCAACATTGAGTTTCAAAGAAGTTTCATCCCTTAATGTGTATGACATATCCTCTTCTTTGAAGTTGTGTGACGATAGTTTAGAACTTACCCGTAGTCTATACTTGTATACCATATAAGCTCCGCCAGCAACAACAGCCAAAACTATCAAGATGATCCACACGGCAGTCCAAGTCGCCTTCGCTTCGCCAGTTTTCTTACCTGCACGTAAATCATTCAGGCAATATGAGTGAAAATTTAGGTGAGTTTATGAAGTATTATAAAATTGTTTTGAAGTCTTACTTATGCATGTATCATGCTCCTTAATGTACAAAAGATCTCCGGCACAAGTGCACTGATAGTCACCCCATGTGTTTTTGCAGCTACATTCCGGACACTGGCAAGCTTTTTTCTCTTCGCACTCATCAATATCTGCTTAACATTAAAGACAAAAAACCATTACGAAGAAAAATATATTGGATATACTTGTTGGGTAAAGTGATTGGAGAGTAACAGAATGGAGAAAAATGTCAAAATGGTCCGATGACTGTTTGTAGGGGTCATTTTAGTCCCAGATTCTAAAAGTGTAAATTTATTCCCAGACTCTTTGAGCATGGGTTCAAATAGTTCCTACGAATGACTATTTTAGCACTCATTTAAAGAGTTTGAAATTAATTTGACATTTTATAACCGCTGAGATTAAAAATTCCCCATGCAAATACACTGGGGACTATTTTGGCACTTCTCTATAACATAATGGGTGATAAATTATGGAAAAGTTGTAGGCGTTTGCAAAAGCTACATAATCAACTGTAGATAGTAGCAATAGCCCAAAATATAATAAATTTGAAGTGTACCATTGTAGATAAACATGTGTTTTACCTTCACAATTCTTAACACCATCCCCGACAAAACCAGGAGGGCACTGGCATTTGTGATCTTCAGAATCCTATGCACCAGAAATCAACATATTAGAACAATATTCGACGAAAAATGCAGAACATGAGCTCAAGCACGAAAACACTCGAAATCAGGAATAAGTTTTTCGAAATAATCAACCTGGCAAGCAGAGAAGGTGCTTCCATTCCTGGTTTCCTTCCAGCAACCCCCATTATTTATCCTACACCTCCCAGGACCCATTGCTGCAAATTTAAGAGGCAGAATGATAAAATTAAATTACATGTTGGTTAATAGACTAACAAGATTAATAATATGAATGTGGAAGATTTTCAAAGTCAAATAAATCATAAAAAATATGCAATTGAAGTAAGGATTCAATAAGATGACTATCCACTTTATAAAAATTTGAATGAATCATGCTTTTACATGTTTATGCCTACGTACTCTACAGCATGTATTCCTGGGCAATTATTGCTATCAATGAAAAAAAAGTTTCCTGAATAGTTGTGCTAGCTCTTCCAATAAGTGACAAAACGAGAATGAAACATCCCACTGATTCAAGTATAATCTGCAAATCTAAAAAATATTAGAATTTGGTAGCCTAGCAATCTCTTCATCAAGTCCAAGAACGACAACATAAATCAACAAATGAATGAGATCTGTCGAGGCCTCATTTCCCACGAAGCTTTGCCAAAAAAATTTGTGTGTGATTTGAACAGCGCAACGCAAACTAGATGACATCAGCAGCCCATACAAATTGTAACATAATATATCCCTGATAGAGTTTCATCTATTTAAGATAAAATCCAAAATAATGAAACAGTCTCTACCACAAAAGAGGTGCATCTAGGGCTGTCAATGAACAACTTGAACGTGGTTCGATCAATACTTGATCATTTTTTTCAAATTAGTAAATAAACTAGTTTGAACATTTTTTTTAAAACTCAAAGGTTAAATGAACTAAATTTGAACATAGTTTAATTTATTTATTAATGTTTTTGAGAAAGCTTATTTGTTATTCAACAAACAACTTGTTATTATATGATATATTATTTTAATTTAATTTCAACAAATAATTTATTTAATTATATATTTAATAATAAGAAATTATAATTTAATCAATATAAATTTAATGTAATTTTTTTTTTTTCTCAAGCTTGAACTAAAAAGTTATGATTCTACTAAGCCGAATGATATACTCGACTCAACTCGGCTCAGCTCGATTACCACCCTATATGAATTGTACAACTAGAGATGCCAGAAGTTTGGCCAGCCATGTTGCATTTGCTTCTAATGAACAACCATCCACATATAATTTGATTCACACGTAATCCACATTTTCAATAGAACACCATTAAGTGCTTGTTTTTAAACCAAAAAAAAATTTGAATAAAGTGATCATACTAAATTTGGACAAAACAAAACCAAATAAATAAATTATTAAATTATTAATTGATGTAATTTGAACCCAATTTGCATCTAACCATTGTTCCAAAGTAGTCATATTGAATGAACCTATCATTAATTATCCAAGTGAAAAGCATACATAAGATTTAGCCAGATAGATTTAATTACAAATTACCATACGATTAGAACAAAGTTCCACAAGCACCCAAGTTTTAATCCAAGTCATTAAAAAAAAAAAAGCCACAAAAACCACTAACATGCACCTCATAGAGTACAATTTCAAACAATAATTTTGAGCCAAGTGTATGAACAAACATGCAAAACATAAGAATTACTTATGTTATCTGATTGCAAGAAAACTTACATACAACTTATATATTATTTAATTACTTGGTATAAACTAATTAGATGCTAATTTAAATTTTATTCAATTGCTTATTTATATTTGTAAAATCATTTTTTAATAATTTTATATAAAAAATTAAGCACTCGTTCAAATTTTTAGCTTATTTAAAAATTTTATATTAAAAATCAGGAATAGATCAAATTTTTAATTTCACATGAAAAGTTTCTACCATATTCAATCAATATCAAGAAACAAATTATAAATCAAATATGATCATTAAAAAAATTAAAGTGTCGGCACAAAAAAGAAGAGAGGTTGTTTGGGGGTCGCCCGTAAAAAGCTGTCGGCAGCCGGAATTGAAATCCCATCGCCCGCTTCGGAAGGACGTTTTAATTTATGTATATATATATATATAATTTTTAGAAAAATATGAAATCAAACTGACCTCATATTTTTCACAGTTTAAATGAAAGAGCACTCTACCTCAAATCTTGTATCTATCCCGAGGGATAAACACAAGACTTGAGGATGAGGCTCAATCAAATAAACTAGGAAAACATATGACATCCGTTTGGGTCTGTGAAACCGTTTTATTTAAATAAATTATTAAATTATTAATTGATGTAATTTGAACCCAATTTGCATCTAACCATTGTTCCAAAGTAGTCATATTGAATGAACCTATCATTAATTATCCAAGTGAAAAGCATACATAAGATTTAGCCAGATAGATTTAATTACAAATTACCATACGATTAGAACAAAGTTCCACAAGCACCCAAGTTTTAATCCAAGTCATTAAAAAAAAAAAAGCCACAAAAACAACTAACATGCACCTCATAGAGAACAATTATAATTTAATCAATATAAATTTAATGTAATTTTTTTTTTTTCAATAAACTACATAAGAATTACTTATGTTATCTGATTGCAAGAAAACTTACATACAACTTATATATTATTTAATTACTTGGTATAAACTAATTAGATGCTAATTTAAATTTTATTCAATTGCTTATTTATATTTGTAAAATCATTTTTTAATAATTTTATATAAAAAATTAAGCACTCGTTCAAATTTTTAGCTTATTTAAAAATTTTATATTAAAAATCAGGAATAGATCAAATTTTTAATTTCACATGAAAAGTTTTTACCTTATTCAATCAATATGAAGAAACAAATTATAAATCAAATATGATCATTAAAAAAATTAAAGCAAGCCAGGTATGAGCATATATGTCAAACCTCAGCTCAAGCTTGAACTAAAAAGTTATGATTCTACTAAGCCGAATGATATACTCGACTCAACTCGGCTCAGCTCGATTACCACCCTATATGAATTGTACAACTAGAGATGCCAGAAGTTTGGCCAGCCATGTTGCATTTGCTTCTAATGAACAACCATCCACATATAATTTGATTCACACGTAATCCACATTTTCAATAGAACACCATTAAGTGCTTGTTTTTAAACGAAAAAAAAAAATTGAATAAAGTGATCATACTAAATTTGGACAAAACAAAACCAAATAAATAAATTATTAAATTATTAATTAATGTAATTTGAACCCAATTTGCATCTAACCATTGTTCCAAAGTAGTCATATTGAACGAACCTATCATTAATTATCCAAGTGACAAGCATACATAAGATTTAGCCATATAGATTTAATTACAAATTACCGTACGATTAGCACAAAGTTCCACAAGCACCCAAGTTTTAATCCAAGTCATTAAAAAGAAAAAAAAAAACCACAAAAACCACTAACCTGCACCTCATAGTGTACAATTTCA